ACGGGAAACGTCAATTACGACGTTGAAATCGACGGACACGTGGCAAGGAAACACGCAAATCAACTGAAACCTCGGTTCCAGACAACCCAGAAGACAATTGACTGGGAGGACCCCATGACGAACCTGGCGTTGGAGATCCCATTCTTCGAGTCGGCTACGCCGGCTAAAGCCGCCGTCCGACCGAAGCGACCACCCAGGTCGCTTACGTCGCCAAGAGGCACTGGAAGCACATCCCGAGGAAGCGTGACCTCCGAACCTAGCTTTCCGTCGGTTGGAACGAATAACCGCGGAATGCAAAGAGGAGTTGAGGCGGAGCGTGAACGAGGCTACTCACCTGGTTCAAAGAAGCCGCCAAAACGCTTCCGAGCCCGCGGAAGAGAAAAAAGAAAATCCAATAAACTCCTCATCAGTCATGGATGTGGAGGAAGCACGCATCAAACGGGATCCGACCGAAAGCATGTTTATACAACCCGACCCAAAAAGAGGTAAAGATACAACGATTCCGCCTCAAAGTGGCCCGGGAGACGTCGAGGATGCCGCCTCGACTCACGCTCCGGAGGGAGAAGTGGAAGACCCGGCGGAGACACCAGGAAGAGAGGAATCCTATGAACTCGAGATCAGCGGGATCCAGCCCCTACCAGAGGTGCCGGCCGCATGCGAACCTACCGAAGCTGCTTGCCGTCCCAAACGGATCCTCAGAGAAACGAGTCCTTCCGGTCTCGGCCGAATCCAGCGACCTACTTTAGGAAAACGGTAGCCCGCGTCTCCGATTACGCGTGTCGGAGAAACCCGACGCGCCCGGTAAGAGGGACCACGGAAGGGAAAGTGTCTCCGATGAAATTAACGACCGATCTCCATCAGATGAATCCGTCATTCCAGATGTGGACCCCACTGAAACGTGTTGGAGGAGCGATGCATTCCCTGTGCCAATTCTTGTGCTCAGCCGTTTCCGTAATGCTGACCCTCTGGATCCTCGGATACGTCTTCTGGTGTTTCGGAACGGGCCCCACCCGTGACGAGCCCACAGTTACTCCCGCCAACCAAGGTCCAGTAGCAAAACCAGGCAACATGGTGTGGAGGGGTCTGAAGATCATCGGATAAGGACACCCACGAATTCACTCGCCCTTCCCGAAAAAAGGCCGAAGAAGTTCCTCATCATACGGGGGGAGGTGTTGAGCCGTCAGAGTCCGGCGGCCGACTCACAAAGCCCTCTCCCCACTTACTCCGTTTTTACTCTTACCCTTTTATATCTGTAATCCGGAACAGATTCGAAAAATAAAGCAATCCGATTCTACCTATCCACAAGGGTGCGTGTGTTCAATACTCCTTTTGCTTATCTCCAGTATCTGTGCCTCCGGAGCTGTACCACCCCGCCGGGTCTGCAGCCTCCCTTACCGTCTGGGTCCTCAGAGTTCCCGTTACAACAGGAAGCCTTTCAACATCATTGAACAACTGATTTTTCCGTGCATTCAGGACACGGTCAGTACGTTGTTCGGTGATTCGGGAGCCGAATCGTGCAAGATATCCCGCGGTCCGCGAGGACAATCTCACGCCGCATCCTTGAAATCAGCAACGATATGAAAGACCAACTACTGTGCAGAGTTCGGAGCTCGCCTTTTTTCGCGGTGCAGCTTGACGAATCGACCGACTGCGGCAACATCGCTCAACTAATCTGCTTCACCCGATTCGTCGATCAGGATGACATAATGGATGACTTTTTGTTTTATGCAGCCCTCGAAGGTCGGACGAATTCGGACGAAATCTTCTCGGCCTTCATGTCCGCATTCCCCGCACCGTTGTGTCTCAGAACCAAATGTCCAAATAATCAGGACATCTATCTCGGGCTCATTAAGCTGAGCGAAAGCGCTAATGCAGACCTTATCTCGGTACGATAGTGAGCCGTCTCATATCCTTCGGCGTCGAACCTCTCGATTGTCATTTCGGCCGTGATGAAGAGCGCTGCAGTGAAACTAGGTCTACGATCGCAGCTAAGCTTTGCTCATGGACTTCACATCTGTCTCGAGAAAGTCTTGAAGAACTCATCAATTAATATCTCCAGATTCTCAGAAAGCAACGAAGGGATTGCACTCTCAGCCGCCGACGAAGAAGGAAGTGACAGTGATGTCACGAATCGTGAGAACATAGGTAGCGTCCACGTCTGTCACGAATCGTGAGAACATAGGTAGCGTCCACGTCGGACTAATAAATGAGATCGATGTCTCTCCGGTCTCCGTCGCCCTCGCAGGGCTTTCTCCCTCTCCCGTCGGCGGATCTCCAACAGAGATCGACGTGCGCGGAGACACACACGAAGTTGCCTTCAGCGGACTAAGACGTCCGGAAGCCCCTGCGAGACGGTATTCCGGGAGACTTCTCCAGCGGAATATCATCTTGTCTTTAGTGTCGTCAGCCCACGCAAACCCTTGCGGTTTGTAACATTGGTGTCAGAAGTTCCCGAAAACCCACGTTTTGGTAGGTTTTCCTGGCTACACTTGCCCTCCAGCAAGTTATCGGAAGCAGTCTCGTGCCGGCGTGCACTTTTCCCTCGTCGGAAATACCAGCAACCCCGCG